TCTGAATTCTAACTCCTTGGTTGTTCAAAGGTGTATTTCCCAAGAATCTGAAAAGCTATTTCTATTTTTAAGAATCATTTTTTGTAATTTTTGTAAAACAAAAGAGCCTGTTTTGTAAATAAAAACCACCCTAAATTTGTTTCTTTTCTTTATTTTTTTAATTTTGTTTTAATTCTTAGGGTTCTCTGAGCCAACATGCACCTTAATTTCAAAGACATTATCTATTCTGTGCTCTCAAGCTTTTATTTTGTGTAGTTAGGCCTTGGTAAATATTACACATCAATATATTACTAGATGTTGGACATTTTCATTTAGGAAGTTTAAATACCAAAAAATCCTTATACAAAAAATAAACTTGAACAACCTTTTGATGGGTGGGTGGAGTCTACAGAACAGTCCAGGAAAGGGAATGGGAGAGAAGGCACCACCCATGCTTAGGCCATTGGTGGAGCCTGCCTGGGAACTTTGTCAGACAGACCAATTTCCCACCCTGGCTCTGCACAGCCTTCTTCACTTGCCATGTACTAATAATGAGACGACTCCTCCGGGCCTCAAGCTGTTACAGAAACCCATCACTGTGCCACTTACATGCTACCAATACCTCAGATGCCTTGCATTACAACTCCCAGCATGCCATGACCCAGACTTCCTGAACAGGGGACTACTGGGAAACAGGAAAGAATAAGATAGATATATATGTTTTAAAAAAAAAAATGGAGAGGAATGAGAGACATGGGGAGGCCAGCTCCTGGGACCTGGTGTTGGGAGCCCATTTTGACAGGTGGGCTCTACAGAGACAATGAAGCCATTCTCTTGGCCTGTGGGGTCAGCTGATATGGTTCATTTGGTTCCTTTGGACCCAGATCTCTGAGGCCTACCTAACCTTGCTTATGTTTCCTGCCAGTATGTGGGTTTGGTTAGCTCTGGCTCCTGCCTCATCAGCTCATGTTTACCCACACAGGGATCCTTGATTTCAGAGTTTGATATCAAGTCTATTATTTGAACTCCTTTCTCTTCTCTCCCCTTGGAACTTCTCACCAATTAAATCTTTGAACAGGGCCCTCCCTAGTGGCACAGTGGGTTAAAGCACAGCACTATGAAGCTCTTAACAGCTACTGCAGCAGTTCTGTTACAGGGCACCCCAGGTGTGAACTGTCTGTGGGGCCTCACCCGCACGCTTAAGTTTCAGTTGTACTGCAGGCACACACAAAAGGGTCAAAATGGGTTTATGTACAAAAGGGGAAAAGAAAAGGAAACAACTGGAATATCTTACCGGTTCTGCTGACTTGGAGGTCTGGTAACTAACTGAAAATCACGCAGTCCGGAGAGCCGTTTCAGAGCGAGAGACCAAATGGCTCCCTGTTTACCCCCCCAAAGTCCCAGAATGCCTGCTTAGCTCCGCCCTGTGGTCCTCGCAGTTCTCTCCCTGGTACTGCTGGGAGTTGTAGTTTTCAGCCACTGGAGTAGGGGCTGGAGTCCACAAGACTGCAGAATTCCTTTAGGATATCCTTCCCCCTAACACTTCAATCCTAGCCATGATGCTGATCCACACAGCACGGCAGACCTCTCCTGACCCGCCCGCTGCTCCCCTCAACAGTGTACTTCAGTTGTTCTTCCTGTTCTGCTCCCCACTCTGTCTCTGGTGAATTCTCTCACCTCCTACATCTCTGGCTTGTACCCCAGTTCTTGTATTCATAACTAAATAAAAATTTTTTAAAAAAAGGCAGGTAGTTTAAAAAAATCTTTGCACACACACAATGTCTTTGTTCTTTGATGTGTACAAGTGACATGACCCTTAGCAAGGGCAACATGGGTGTTTATCCTCAACACTGTAAAATCCCAGGGCACCCCTCAGCTTTGCTCAGTATCAGTGTTTTCCTTCACTGGAAGAGTCACTGCAGGTGAGTCAGCCCTGTGAGAAAATTTGACTCACTTGCAGTACTGATGAATCAGGCCACGCCCGACAGCGGGACCTCAACAGCCTTTCTCAGCCCTTGTCTCAGCAAGGAAGTATTCACCATGAGACCAGAGTGAGCCAGAAACAAGATGTTTACTGTCAAATAAGGAGGGCAGGAAAGCTCTCTAAATAGGGGAGGTGAGAGGGTAGCTGCTGAGAGGCAAGAAGCATGGATGGATGTACTTTATTTGAAATAAAAGGGTAGGGGGCGTGCTGGTTAGTAACCCGTTGTCTCGAACCAGCTGAATTCCACAACAGGTCCTTATCTAGTTGATTGCGACCCCACACACAACCTCTGGCCTATACCCCAGCTGTCATATGCATAAAAAATGAATGAAGAGCTGAGAATTTGTCTGGCTATTTTGCCTAGAAGTTTTAGAAATCTTTTCTAAGTAAGACCCATTTTAGAGAGAAATTAAAATCAATAGGTGGTTTAGTTAACAGACATCTCGTCTCAGAAACTGTTTCACCTGGTTCAGTTTAAGGTGTTAATCGGTATGTTTCTTACAAATATCTGAACTATTCTTTTGCTTTCATCTCTTAACTTTTGGTTTTCCAGCACCTTCTTCAGATAAGTGATTGGGGCAGCACACATGAAATTAAGACTTTCTAACACCCAAATGAAAATAATACACTTTTTTTTAATTTGATGATGTTAGTGGAAGGACTACAGGATAAAGTAGGGACAGACCATTTGCGCAGAGAGGCAGAGAGAGGCCTGTGAGAACTTTGTTCAACCTTTGCATTGAGAATGCCGCCAAGCTCCAGCATGCCTTCTGACAGCTTAAAATCTGTCCCCAGGTGACCCTAGCAAACACACTGCCCCCTTAAAATGACTACCTGAGAAAGTGGCATGCTACCAGAAGCTACCTGGTTCCAGCCCAAATTGCCAATCTATAGACAGATCCCAAGCACCCTCTTAGCGCAGATACTTCAGGAAGCTTCCAATTAGAACTCCTCCCTCCTTCCTTGTAAAACTTCCATCTTGAACTGTTGAAAGGACCCAGAGCTGTCTCTGAAATGCAACATCATCAAGTGCCTTGCCCCAGCTTGAACCACTGCTACCTGCTAGATGGAAGCATCAATCAAAAAACCCAGATAGCTGGTCTTTTGCATTACCTCGTCCGTTGCTGGTTTTACGAATCAAGTGAGGCACTGGTAGCCAAAAAGACATGGGACAGGGGGGATTGCTGAGAGGTTCTCGGAGGGATTTCCAGCTAGTAAAGTTATGAGGCATACCTGGAGCACAGACACCTCGCCTCCCACTGAGGCTGCAATTATAACCCAGCCTAATCACAGTCCTCTCTTGCCCAACACAGCCCTCTTGGTATACTCCCCAGTACAAGAAATGCTGCTGGGTAACTTGAGAGACGGAGATGTCTTGCTGCCATTTCGGATGAAATGTGAGTCTGAGAAACTCCTGGGAGATGTTTGTCTCCGTGCGCATTCACTCCATGGACATTTTCACTGGGTGCTCCCATGCTAATTCTGTCAGCACATATATTTTAACAACAAAGACGCCACTATTTTACTTTAATAAATGTTTATTTAGTGCCTGCCTGCTCTGAGGCACTAAGTGCCACAAAGAATATGCAGATGAACAAGTCCTAATTCTTGCCTTTAACAAATGTGGGGATTTAGACATATACACAAATAACTAGCATAGAAGGCCATAAGTGATAAGTTCCATGAGACTGATAGAAATAAGAGAATCCAGGGGAAGAAAATACTATTTTTGGATGAGATTAGAGAAGGTGCCTTAGAATTAGGAGGTGTAAAATAACAGGTTAGGTAAGGATAGGAAGGAAATTAAGACAAAAAATAAATCCTGAATGACCACTGGCTCCATGACGGAGAGGGGAGGTGTCCAGCTACACTGGAACAGGCAGGGTTTGGGGATGTGGGGGGAAAGAGATGGGGAAGCTGGACAGACACCCCCCACTGGGGATGGCTGGCTGTGTCAGTGGAAGCTTTTTAAAGAGATGGTTTGATCAGATACAGTTTGCGCTGGCGGATCTGGTGTCGTCCCAGAACGCGGGATCGCAAGTCAGCCAGTTTTAGGGTGATTGCAGGAGTCTGAGCTAGGGTAACTAGGTGGTGACGGCAAACATGACAAAGCTCCAGGGGAATGATGAAGACGGGGCTAAGATTAGGTAATGACTCAATACAGGTCTTTAAGTTCTGCATTGCAATTAATTTTTTCCATATGGGGAAAAACCAAACTATGGGGGAGAAAGGTGACGACATGGTGGCAGGGCTGTGCCTAGAGCTAGGGAGATCCAGAGAGAAAAAGGCTTGAATGCGGGAAGAGGAGGGGAGAGGTGACCCTGATGCGGGCAACTGACAGGTGGAGGGCCAGGCAGGCAGCTACCTGGTCTGAGACCCAGGGCAAAGGCCCACGCTGCACACAGATGAGACAGGCACCCATGCAGGGCGAGAGCTGAAGCCATGAATCACCGAGACAGCCCCTGCCTCAGCAGGAGGGTGATCTAAGAAACAACCTAGCGGCACAAGTTCCTAAAATACAGAATTCTCACAGAAAATTCATTAAGTATGATGATGCATCATATGAAAAGTGTTGTTTCTCTACGTGTGTTCTATCTTCACTCCTGAGAAACTTCCTTCAGGTTTGTGATGGAAGCAGGTGCCTCCACTGTGGAGGGTCAGTCTGAAAAGGTTTACTCCAATGAGAGTTTCTTTAACTTTTCACCATCACTAATTTTGAAGACTTTTCTGTAGTACAGTTATTTTTCTAAGGATTTCAAAAAAGCTAAGGTTTGCTACCACATTACTGAGCATGAGTTGCAAAGAACCTGCATGGTCATCTCCATCTCCTCCATTTGACAGATGAGGAAACTGAGGCCCTCCCAGGCCAGGGGACTTGCTTAGCAAGGGGCGGCGAGGTGGGGCTGTAAGCCAGACTCTGCTTTTCTCTTCCGAGACTGTATCCTCAGGTGCCTGGCTGCCATATACATACAGAAAAAGAATGGGTAGGGAGGCTGGTGCAAAGATAGGTAGGTAAATAGATAACTAAACAAGTGGCTGGGAAGAACACATCTATATTTTTAACTTTTATTCAAATAGGGAAAAGGAGAAAATGGCTTAAGTGAGAAAGGCAATTTTGGGACCCGTCAATGCCTTGCAGATCTAAAACGCCAATTATCGTTATTTTCTTGAAACGGTTACTGCAAAAGACAAAAAAAATATATACCATGTCAATACACATCACAGTCAGTAAACTTTATAGTCAGCCACAATGGAAATTCTGGTTTTCCTGGTTGGGATGTAGTCAGGTAGAAACGCAATCTGCAGGAAAACAGCAGGAATCACATCTTAGGTCGTTTTACCCATCACAGAAGCAAAATGCCCCTGGGAGTTCAAACACATTCATTTATAGAGAAAACGGAGAAAAAAGGCAATTATCTTCCAAATACTTAAGTCCCAATTCCACAGGTAGTTTTGACAACCATGTTATAGTCTTCCCACGAGTCTGGAAATCACACACCTGTCAGCTATAATGAACGACTCCCCCTCCCGAAGGCTGCCTCAGCACTCCCCCAGACCCAGCGATTGGTCTGCCAACAACACAGTCCAGCTGGAGCTATCCTCAGATTTTCCAGAAAACCTTCTTCTTATAGAGAATGTAAGCAATGAGCACCCAGAGGGCAGTGGCGACGATGTTCTGAGTGAGGTGCTCCTTGTGGGACTGGGTGTTCCCCAGCTTCCACTGGAAGGGAAAGTAATTCTGAAACACCTCGTGGCCGACGTACACCAGAATAGAATTCATTCCTGCAAGACACAGAGGGGCAGTTTTTCCTCAGCATCTAAGAAATCCTTGAATTTGACTTTAGTTCAGTGAAAAAACAAAGAGCACATGCTTCTGGTATTGCCTGCTGCCCAGAATAGTCCATGCAGCCCTTAGTCATGGAAGTGTAAGTGCTGTCAAACAATGATTAAAACATACTCATTCCATGACAATTTAGGATCTAATTCTTGATATTGAAGCTAAAGGGAAAGCCAAATTCATTAACTTAAATCTCCTAGACAGAAAACTTGAGGTCCAAAGAATGTAACTGTGACTAGAATTACTGGAATGAGAGAGCTCAAGAAAGACACAGATCTGGTCTAATTCTCAGTCTTCAGGCGGAGTTGCATCCAAACCATTCCATTTATCTCTCGATAATTGTCTCTTAAAATTTCTTATGCATAAATGTAAAAATGCATGTGAACTTATACCAATGTTGTTTTATAATGATGCAACTTGAAACTTACATAATGTTATAATACAGTTATTTCAATGAAAAAATTATTCAAAACAGAAAGTATGGCTCAACTTCTGAAGCTTTAGAAGCTGGATGACATGCTTTGGGTGGTTCTGATACTCCACCCTTTGGGATTGCCTGAAGAAACAAGTGGAATTCCTTTATGCCCCCACAATCTAAATGGGGTGAACTGCTTTGGAACAATAATGTCCTGCATGGCCAAGAACAGCGCGGTCTGGCTGATATCTCCCTCTGCCTGTGTCTCCAAAATAGGCCACCCAAGCCGTGGTTTGAGACGCAACCTGGGCATACCTTCTCAACTCTGGATGGTCCCTATGTCCCCACCATCAACTCTGTTTGAGGGCAGGGGTGACTTGCCTGGGTAAAAAAATGGAGCTCCCATCCACAGTCCCTTCACATCCACAACGGGGTAGAGCACAAGTAGAATGAAGAAGGCAAATGAACTCAGCGTGGTCACGTACGAAAGGGACCTGGAAGGAGTTGAGTGAGGTGTTTCGGGGCCCTTGACGAGCACGACCCCAGGACCACCGATGGAGGTCATCATATGACACTGTCACTACACTTACCAGAGGTTTTTGTTTATTGGAATAAAGCCTTCATTTTCAGAAACTTTTGTCAAAGCAGCAGAAATAAGGCCCTGTATTGGGGAAGAAGGATATCTATCAACTCAAAAAACAATTCTGTTCGAGACCAAATAATCTAGTTATTTAATTGCTTTGGAAGGGCTGAAAATTGCACCTGGGAAAATTTTAACTGGGAAAATATATATATATATTTTTTAAAGATTTATTTATTTGTACATACAGAACTGGGGTACAGGCCAGAGGCTCAGGGGTGGTGAGAGGCTTCACCAGAGACAGTGGGGAACAGAACAGGCAGATAGACAAAGTACACCACTGAGGGGAGCAGCGGGCGGGTCAGGAGAGGTCTGCCACGCCATGTGGTCTCCTCCGGGGCAGGCGGGAATCGAACTCATGCGGAAGTGGCTTTAGCTTCTCAGTGCAGTGCCTTAACCCGCTGCGCCACCAGGGAGGGCCCTTAACTGGGAAAATATTTTTAAGATGTGTAACTAAAAACATTTTTCAAAAAAAAAAAAATCATCTTTTCCCCATTTCTCTGAGTTGAAAGCGAAATAATTAATAAAGTGCAGTGAATTCTGACGGAAGGATAACAAGGTCAGGAGTAACATGAGCAGTCAATCTTCCAACTCCATTTGTCGCCTGTCACTCTGGAAAATGACATTTGGAGAGCTGTCATAATCTGCCTGGACTTTCCAGCACTGAGCTGTGCAGAACCCACAGGCAGGTCCTTCGCTCCATGCTGACTACTGACTGCCAGATAACAATATGATCTTATTTATAAAAATTTTTTCTTGTGAAAATAAACCTGAGAATTTAGGTGTTAAGGGAAGAATCTGTTCCTCTCTATTATGCAAGTGATGAAAGCTGCCTGTTGTGAAGTGTGACAGCTGTTCTCCCAGCGCTGCTAAACATGATCTTTTTTAAAATATATATATGAGAAGAGAAGGCATTGCAGTAAGGAATGTCAGTTACTTACTAGAACACAACACCAGGCGGTAAATCTGATGAGGATGTCTTTGGTCCGGTCCTTGTAATATAAGAGTATTTTTCCTGCCTGGAGAAGGAAACACAGTGTCACTGGGACAATCACCTATGGTGGATGGTCATTTCATGTTCATCCACTGTCCAAATCGCTCCCTAGACTCCTCTGCCAGGCAGGCTGCCCAGACTCTGGCTGTGCAATGCGTTAAAGCACAGTGCTATGAAGAAGTCATCCGCAGCCATTACAGCATGAGTTAGATTCCCAGCCAGGGAACTGACCCACATAGTGTGGCAGACCTCTCCTGTCTTGCCCACTGCTCCCTTTAGCAGTGTTATTTCAGTAGATCCACCTCTTCTGTTCCCCACTCTGTCTCTACTGAATCCTCTCACCCCCTGTACCTCTGTACCCCAGTACTAGTATGCATAAATCTTTAAAAAAAAATGAACATCACCTCTGCTCAGTGGCGACTGAGAATGACATGGGACTCAAAAGGGGGGGTACTGGGAAAGGGGTGCTGTCAAGCTGAGGCGAGGTTCTGAGTACAAAGCAGGGCGTACTGGGTAGAATGAGCCGCAAGCGTGGGGCGGAGTGGGCATGCATGGCATCAGAGGTGCTGCAGCTCACTCAGAAAGGCTGGCGGGTGAGCAGAGCGGTGAGGTCACAGGTAGGTTTGTAGGTCTCACTGCCAAGCACGGGCTCTCTCCCACGGGGGAAGGGGAGCCAAGGAACACCATTAAGTCATTTCTCTCCCCCAAAATAACAAGTGACCTGCTCAGAAGGGTCTGCAAGATGACCCATTCTGGCAGCAGTAAGATAAGTCATAGAGACAATGGGAATGTTTTCCGAGAACACAGCAATTTCTCCTAATTATTTGGATGTGCTGAATTTTAGCAACTTCAAGTCTTGACAATCTTACAGATTTTATTAGCCCTGTAATACACAGAAGACATATTTCTAATTACTTATTTTAAAGAAATAGTGATGAACTGATAATCACAAAGCATCAGGAAAAAAGCGTCCTCATGGATGAACTGACCTGAACTCCTAAAAATGCCATCACAATGGAGTTGATGGTCCCTAGGATTCCTTCCGGGTCATAGGTCATCTCAGTGTGATAAAGCACCTTGACAAAGCAGAACAAGAAGCTCTGTCACCCACAAACAGCAACAGAATAAACACAAACATCCTCTGGACTAAATGGAAAATGCTTGTTTTTTAATTAAAGAAATTCATTGCCACCTTCTGCAATTAAAATACCTCTGGCCAAGGAAATGTGGTGTATGACACTTGCGACAGGTGCCCCAGAGACCAGGGAGGAGCCATGGTCCTGCCCAGCTGCTCCACTGTGAGAAGGCTCCAGAGAGGGCTGGCCTAGGCTCTGCAGCACGCATCCCGATACTGATCAATACGGTGCACGCCTCCTTCATCACTCCCGGGCTTACCGTTATTGATTCAGCCTTCTATGACATTAACAATGTCCTATTTTCTTTTACAGCAAATAACAATTAACATGTATCTGTATTATCATAAAATACATACTAGTGTAATCAAGATGGAAAAAAAATGTGCAAAATGATGTAAAAATAAACTTTGTAATAAAAAAAAAAACATAAATCATGACAAAAAAAAAAAAATACACACTAGCGCACTAGTAGTGGAGGCTGCCGCCTACTGTCCAGAACCCCCACCACACCCCTGGCAGGACAAAAATATCCATCCCCTGAGGCTGGCAGTATCAATGGCCAGAAGTGCCAGCCCAGTTGCTTTTCTGGATTCGCCCTTGACGGAAGAGCTGACTCCACCCCCCCACCCCCAGGAGCTAGAGGCTCTTGCCAGGGTGGTCCACATCCATAGGGGGGTAAAGGGCCCTTTCCAGCACTGCAATTCAGAACAACCCTGCAGGCTTCCCACCCTCAGCCCTGTGAGGTCAGCGAAGGGCTGTGTGAGCGTTCAGTGCTCTGGGCCCCCACCTCTGCCGCCCAAGTCTGCAGGTGTCTCTGAGCTCAGGACTCCGCCAGCTGCCCACACAGATCCCATCAGAGTGCGCTGCCAGAAGGCACTCTGAGGACTGAGGAAGAGCCCCATGAGCCATCTCCATTTTAGAGCCCAAAGAGGCATTTCCACCCTGCCCCACAGGGAGCGGTTAAGTAAATGAAGCCAGTCAGCTTCTCAGGTAAAACTTAGTTCTTGTCCTCGTTACCAGACAGTTCAGCGCCTCCCATCCCTCTCCTTTCATTCAGAGAGCCCAGGTGCCCAGCTGCACGGACCAGCCAGCCCACTCACAGCTGAAGAAGGATGCTGGTAAAGGTGGTCATCTCCCAGCAGCACTCGGTCAAGGTAGCCAGCAGCCCCTCCAGTACAATTCGGGTACTTGCCCCAGTCGCCAATGCCGCCCGGGCCAAGGTAACCACTAGGGAAGTGAAAACACGACTTAGCCGACACGACTCAGGACGGGATCAGGAATGTCCTGCTCTCCCGGGCACCCAACATGGGGTCAGACCAGCGGCCTGAGCCACCCCCAAGGGCATCTGCTCTTTCACCAGAGCTTTTGTCACTTCACTGCTCCCCACATATTACAGTGGGGGCCCCAACTTCCACTCAAACTGACCCTGAAAGAACCCTAAGGCATCATTTCTCTGGACACACACACCAAACTCCTCTGCTAACACCAAGTAACACAAGAGAAGCAAGAGACAGAATTTTTCTCATGTGACAGAAAGTGAACCACACAGGGACGACTGTGCAGTTTTACGTACGTAGGACATCCAGGAACTGGTAAGAAGAAGGTCACACTCAGCCAGATGCTTTCCAGTATCAGAATGAAGAGCCACTGGGGCCAGCTGGACACGAGGTCTCGAAGAAAAGAGCAGCTTCTCTCCTGAGTACAGGACACAAAAAGCATGCATGAGCCCAGTGCAGGAAGAGTAGGAATAATATGCAGTCTGTGTACTGGAGAAATTTCCAGGATTCGTCTCTTGGCCTCTGTTACTAGGAATAAGAAAAGTACATGCATGTTTATTTCAAATGTAATGATGGGTCCAGATGCCTTTGTGAACTACCACAGTGAAATGTAAGTCAAAAAAGGCCAGAGAGGTTCCGACTCCCACAGCCAAGTATTCACACAAAATCTTTTACACAAATGTACATAGTATCATTATTCATAAAAGCCAAAATGTGGATACAAATCAAATGTCCATCAACTAGTAAATGGATAGTAACTATTATAAAATGGAATATTATTCAGCAAGAAAAAGGAATTAAGTACTGATAAATTGCACAACATGGATAAACTCTGAAAGACATTATGGTGATAAAAGAAGTCAGACAGAGAAAGGTACATTTTTGTAAGAGTCATCCATTTATATGAAATGTCCAGACAGGAAAATCTACAGGGACAGAAAGCAGAGGTTGCCTAGGTTTGGTGGAGTGATGGGGACCATAAAATGGCTGGTAGTGAGTATGGGGTTTCTTTGGAGGATAATGGAAATGTTCTAGAATCAGATGGTGGAGCTGAATGCACAACTCTGAATATACTAAACATCAGTGAATTGCACACTTCAAACATGGGATGTTCATAATATGTGAATGATCTCAATAAATCTGTTTAAGAAATTAAAAATAAATTTGATAAAAAGAAAAATGAAATTTAAACTTTTGGAGCTGTTCTGGTTGTAGGAAGAAAGGATACAGTCCATCTGTTCCTGGTGACCCACCCAACTTCTCATTCTATTGTGGTCACCCGACCAACCACCACACGCCCTTAGGCTTCACTCTTGGCTAACCAAGCTTGAGTTCACGGCATAAGCAAGCTCATGTCACATCAAAGAAATCTATAGCACAGCAGAGTATACACCAACTGGGGGATAGGAAGTAAACATACTCCACGAATACAGGACTAAGGAATTATTATAGGAAGAACCATGAGAACCTGGAATGCAATATATATGCATATTAATCATATAAGGGGGAAAAAACTAGAAAACAACAGAGTTTACTAATCTATTGCTAAGTAGGACTCAAATGGAAAAATACAAACCCTTCCACCTGAATTTTTGCCTCTACTGGGAAAAATTATCTATCACCTGGGTAAGCTCATAAGGTGGAAAGTAACCACAAAAGAGGTGAGATCCCCACACTTGTTATGGAAAGTAAAACAGCCAAGTAACAGCCAGCCATTCTCTCATATCCCACTGTGGCATTCCTCTTCAAGTACAACATTCCCAGTATCTATATATGTATGTGTACATATACAAGCTTATTCATGTGCATTAAGATTTTTAATATCTTATATGGCCAGAAAACTGAATAATTGATAGAAATGTCCCAAGAGACTGAACTACCAAACTAATGATGGTGATATAATATTTAATACCACCAAAATGCATTTGATAACAGAACACTTAAAACAAATGTGTTTTAAGTGGGTGGATCCCATGAGATTTTTTTTTTACAACTACAGCAGAAAAATGACTGACAGACTAAATTAAAACAACTAGGTGAAAGGAAGAAAGAATGTGTTTCAACTCAAGAGTTACAGACTCTATTGATATACATACTGCACTAAAGGAAGTTCTAAAACTATACTGTGATTTCCCCCCTCGTTTGTGTTTTTTTAAAGATTTATTTATTTATGTATACAGAACTGGGTATAGGCCAGAGGTGCAGGGGCAGTGAGAGGATTCACCAGAGACAGAGTGGGGAGCAAAACAGGCAGATGGACAAAGTACACTGCTGAGGGGAGCAGCAGGAGAGACAGGAGAGGTCTGCTGTGCTATGTGGGTCACCTCCGGGGCAGGGGATCGAACTTGCACTAAAGCAGCTATGGCAAGCTTGCAATGCTGTGTCCTAACCCGTTGCACCACCCCCTTTCTTTTTTAATAAAACAAGGTTGCTCACCGAGGCACAATTTTCAGGAATTGGTTTAGCAAACAGGAGCTCCAACATAGCAACCACAAAGTAAGTCACCCCCAACCTCTGGAGCACGCCAGGGATTCGGACTTTATTCCAAGACACTGTAGAAGGTACAAGGAGGAAACATGTTAGTAGCATGTTCATTCCACATCACGGGCCAGCACGGTTTTTTCTAAAGGGAAGACATTAAGTCCTTTTAAGTTTCTGGTGATGGAAAGACCTATGTCAGGAGACATGGGTGAAACAGGACAACTACTCAGGAGAAGGGACTTAGTTCAAACTCAGAGCACAGTGCTGGCCAGCTGGGAGACTGAGAGAAGATCACGGTGTTTCCCTTGAGTGTGGGGATAAAGCAAGGACTACCCTGGTCCTCAAGTTCCTCTCCTGGCCCTCCCCTGTTAGAAACAGATTTCTCTCTCACAGAGACCAGGAACATGCAGCCCTGGCACAGGCCACTGGCAGACTCCCCCTTCCTTGCAGGCTACACAAGTAAATCACTAGGATTAAGTAACTCTGTGGTGAATCCCATGCTACACCTTCTGGGGGCAGCAGAGCATTTTGGAGGAGTCGCCAATTTGCTCTATATACCGTCTTCCCTTACAATTCCAACTGGAAGTCACCTCCACCTCCTCCTAAGGCCTAGAGTCGGTGCTTTGTGTTTGAGGAATTCATCTGGCCTATGTCCAGCTATTTCTGTTCCTTTTGACAGTGATCCTTGAGGAGAGATATCACCACCTTCCCTGATTCAGATGCTGGTACTAAGCGTAGGGCTTATATTCTTTCTTCAATTTGGCTGTCACCTTGTCAAATCTATGGCATCCCAGCAACCCAGCTGCCACACCTGGGATAACAAAGCTGGATTTCTCAACTCCCACATAAACCTCATAGTGAAAGTTGATGGAACCAAAGTGGTCTAAGAACCAGACAATCTGGTCTGGACCCTCCCTGCCCCTTGCTACACACAGATATTCCAGAGAAAACACTTCAATCTCTCCCAGCCTCCGAGTCTTGATTTGTATAACAGGATGGTTTGCGTGGTCTTGGAGGGTGCTCCCATGTCCAAATTCCAAGGTATTAAAATAATACCAAAGCGTTTTAAGCAACCTATATATTTTTCTAATATTTGTTTTTGTTACAGGAGGAATCTATGATGGTGGAATGATATTTCTTTCAAGTTATAACATGTAGTTTCCATATTTCAATCTGAATATATATATTAACAGAGTGGGAAATACTTACATGGACCCAGGCAGTAATTGGGGTTCACAATGACAATTCCTATACAGATTAACAGGAAACTCCTCCACGCAATTTTCCCCAGCAATCTGAATTTCGAGCACCCTCGCTGTAGTATGGAAGTCAGTGATAGAAAAATAGAAGTTCCCATAATAAATACAAACCTAGGGAAAAAACATCTATTACTAAGTGTCCATTTCTAGTGGTTTTGGTCTTATATGTCCATGAATATATTAGACAATCTACTGTAAAAGAAGCAACATGTGATTTTTTTTTTTAATGTAGAAGAACTAGTGTGTAGGCCAGAGGTGCAGGAGGTGAGAGGATTCACCAGAGACAGAGTGGGGAGCAGAACAGGTGGATTTACTGGGACACACTGCTGAGGGCAGTGGACAAGATAGGAGAGATTTGCTGTGTCATGTGGGTCACCTCCCCAGATGGGGATCAAACTCAAGTCTACAGTGGGAAAGTGCTGAGATTTAACCCCTAGATTACCAGGGAGGCCTGCAACACGTGAGTTTTTAAAGCAGCTGATGCCTGATATGACCTTGGGTTCATAGGGAGGAAGGATCAGAAAGCAGGTCTGTTGCGTGTGGTGCCTCTGACAAGGCTCCTTCAAGTGCTCTCTGAAAGATTTCCAGGACAACGATCCTGCTGAATTATCAAGAGGAAGGCTGGAGAAGGCACTACATCCCTACCAGCTCAATATTCACTAGTGGGCCCTCAAAGTCCCTGAGAAACACCATTTCGATGATTTCTAAATTTAGTCTTGCTCCTGAAAGAAAAATTAAAGATTATTTTCTCAGAACCACATGTCTTTCCTTTCTACTATACCAAATTAACTTTAAAAGTCAGAATAGTGATTTTTCTAATAATCTGGGGAAGGGCTTTACCACGAGAGAGTTTGCTTCCACTGCATTATTAGTGCCCCCCCCCTTCCTGTCTTGGAGTCAACTAATCAGATAACAGTTTGTAGGACCAGCAACAGGAGCCAAGTCACTTTCCTGTAGGGTATATTGTAAATATACTCAAGTAATTGCCAGGCTGCAGGCATGTCAAACTTTCTCCTTCCCAATCCATCAAATGCCCCCAAATCCTCCAATCCCAAAAGAACCTTCAGCTCATGTTAGTAATGAAACACAACAGACCAAAGGCACAAACCAGTGGTCACTACTTACTCCTAATGATGGAGCAAAGTCACTCAAGCATCACAGCCAAGATGTAGCCCACAATGTGGAGGGAAGTCAGGTCGCTTATCAAGATTAACAAGCCACAGATGATGTGAAGCACAACTATTATCAGATACTTCACTATTTATTTTATTTTTTTTTAAAGATTTATTTTATTTATAGAACTGGGGTATAGGCCAGAGGATGTGGGTCGAGGGCGTGAGAGGATTCAGCAGAGACAGAATGGGGAATGGAACAGGTAAATTAATGAAAAACACTGCTGAGGGGAGGAGCGGGCAGGATAGGAGAGTTCTGCTGCACCATGTGGGTTAGCTCCCTGCTGGGGATCGAACTCATGCCCAGTGGCTGGAGATAGCTTGACAGTGCTGAAACTTTAACCCTTGCTCCACCAGGGAGACCCTCCACTATTACTTTAAACGTTATTTTAATGCAATTGTTGCCTTGTTACACAGCCCTCAGAGTTCCCTGACAGCAACATCCTACACTTCTTTTGTTTTTATTGTAATATTTGAAGACTTTATTTTTTAATTGTAAACTTGCAGTTTAATACTTAAATTTAAATTAAATGAAATACTTATTTGATATTTTATCGAAACACAAGTAATAAAGCTAACATGGGAAGTTAGAGACAGAGAAAGGGAATAAACTCAGACAATGTCCATATCAAAACTCAGCATCCCAAACTTCTTTTATGGAGTGACTTTTTACTTATTTTCAGGAATATGTTGTGGAATTTAACTACATATTCAGGACTTACTTCCTATAAGATGCTAGGGTTTTATATATCCTACCTACTCTATGTTCCTCCAAAAATCACTCATCTTTCAAAATTATAGGGCTTAGACAAACATGGAGCCAAGAACCATTCAGTGACACAATGTTTGGAAGGACCTCATCATAGCAGAGTGACACGCTCGTGAGTGACACAGGCCTGCAATCCAGAACTCAGAGAGAGGTCTCAAGAGAAACACTGCAGCATCCTGTGAAAAATTAAAAACTGACCATGACCTACAGAAGAGCCGTGGTAGAAGCCCACTCACCATGGGAACACAAGGTCAGCCACCGTCAGTCCTGTAGAGCAACACAAACACAAACAGTAAGGAAAATGCCTCTAGAATCCAGTATTTTCTCAACCTAGGGATTCTCCGTATGTACTGGCATATACAGAACGTAAACTCACAAAGAGAGCTCAGAGAAAACTCTGAAATGACACTCAGACCCTCCCCAGAAAGGCTGCAACTAGTCAGAGGTCTGGGGCATTTCTCAAGAACATAACGGGGCACAGGAGAACCAAACTAGAAATACATACACCTGTTTACTAAGTTTAAGCAGTGCTGTTCAAAGTCCACTCAAGCAAAGCTGATCCACAGCCACTGCTCAAGCTCCACTCAGATCAGCCCCAGTTCACTGGTACCACGGAGTGACTGTGACAGAGGCCTATCTTGAATATAACAAGGATCATTTACACTAAATTCTTAGCATCTCTGCAGTGTCCCACACTCCTCAGACAGAGAGCGCTTTGGCATCTATGTGTTCTTATAGAGAAGCATGACAGTCACCACACATAAAAGGAAGAATAAAACAAAAGAGCTAAAAGGATAATCAAAGGTCATTCTATGAGACAGAAGCTCAACAGCTCAGGAGACAGCTAATGGGGCCTCATCGCTAGAGCTCCTGAGGGTGGGTGCTGAGGGACTGCCCTGCCCTCAGTGTTGGGGAGCAGGAAGGACTACATAAGCAATGCCACCTTTAGGAAACAGCTTACCATTCCAGCTTGCATGTTTGAAGTACCAATATTTTCCTCCTCCATAATTAACGAAAACCATGAGGACGAGCGCTACCCTGTAAAGCAACAAAGAGCACGCTTTTGAAGCAGCACAATTGTACTCACAGTCCTGGCACTGATAAAGCACGGAGACCAACTCTTATGTCTAATCACTAAAATTAGGACCTCACACTACAGTTCTTCTGTTACCAACATTTCCAACATGCTTTCTTATGCCAAATTTATACTGGCACTAAACTATGTAACTTCAAAGCAGGAAAACATTTAAACTTGCTCAATTTTGTGCTAGTGATTTAGCTGTCAGAATGAAGGAACTGTAGTAAGAGTCCTTCCCTCTTACAGTCATAAGATCATAGGTAAAACTGTCCCAGTTA